AAAAAAAAAAAAAAAAAAAAGAAGGATTTAAAATACAGGGGTTTTATCTTTACTTTCCTCATTCCGTTCCCTGGAAAAGTTGGAAAAACCACACAGGAGTTGAGGGAGAAGAGGGGAAAAGGGTGAAAAACAAAAAACCTTTTTTTTTTTTTATTAAAAAAAGCAGGATTTAAGGGGAAAAGTTGGAATAAAACCCCATTTTTTTTTCTGTTAAATCCCGTTTTCCAACTTTTCCCGTTAAACCCCGCTGGGTTTTTGCATTTCACAGAAAAAAAGTGTGGTTTCCGACTTTTCCCCTGAAATCCTGTGCTTTTTTCACACTTTTTCCTGCTAAATCCTGGGGGGGGGGGTTCCAGCTTTCTCACTTAACTCCTGTGGGGGTTTTCCAACTTTTCCCAGAATTTAACTTTTCCGCGGAATCGAACACGAAAAGCTGGAGAAAACCCCACAGGTTTAACAGGAAAAGTGGGGTTTTTCCTAACTTTCCCTCTTAAATTCTGGTTTTTTTCCTGACTTTTCCCCCTCAAATCCTGTTCTTTCCTGACTTTTCCCCCTTTAATCCTGTTTTTCCCTGACTTTTCCCCTTAAATCTTGGCTTTTTCCCTGATTTTTCCCCCTCAAATCCTGTTCTTTCCTGACTTTTCCCCCTCAAATCCTGTTCTTTCCTGACTTTTCCCCCTTAAATCCTGTTTTTTCCTGACTTTCCCTCTTAAATTCTGGGTTTTTTCCTGACTTTTCCCCCTGAAATCCTGTTCTTTCCTGACTTTTCCCCTTAAATCTAGCTTTTTCCTTGTCTTTTTCCCTTAAATCCTTCCCTATTTTTGTAATTTTGCCCCTTAAATCTTGCTGGTTTTCCCCAGCTTTTCCCCTTAAATCCTTCCTCGTTTTCCTAATTTTTCCCCTTAAATCCTTCCTCGTTTTCCTAATTTTTTCCCCTTACATCCTGCCCCATTTTTCTAATTTTTCCCCTTAAATCCTGCTGACTAAACTCGTATTACATTCTTACTTTGATAGAACTAAAAAAGAATCAAATGAAGTATTAAGAAAACCTTTCATTACTGTCTTAACCTGCCCATTTTTCCCACCAAAAAAAAACCCCCAAAAACCAAAAAACAAAACCAAAAAAGAAAAATAACGCCTTTTCCCCTCACCGCAGGGTTTTTCCAAGCGATGGACGTGGACCAGGACGGCGTTGTCACCTTCGACTTGCTGCAGGTACCTGGGGGTGCTGCGTGGAGCTGACAACCCCCCAAAACCCCCCCAAAAAAAAAAAAAAAACCAACAAACCCCAAACCCACCCGAAAACTTAATTTTCTTAATTATTTTTCCTTACTACCCTGATGGGGGTTCTGAAGGGTCAGCCACAAATAAGTTTCAATGAACACAGTAACAGAGTCTTTGCACTCACAAAAAAATCTAGTCTAATCTGGGTTCTTACCTCTCTCCCAAAAGCTTGCCAGGCTTGTAGACAGTCACAGCTGTAACACTATTATTACAACAAAAAAAAACAACACTGTTCCTTTCTTTCAGACTACAAGTTGCACCACCCCTGCCAAATACAATTGTGCTAAGATTTTGCAGTTACAACCTAAGTCAAAAAAGGAAGACCCTAAAAGCAATCCCTCACGTCTGAGGAGAAAGGGTTTATTATCGGGCAATTCATAAGCAGAGACGTAACAAGCGCAGAACACAGCCATGCTGCATCACACAGCAAGGTCCATCCAGGTTGGCACTTCATTTTCAGCACTGACCACTGTTTATGATGGCACAGAAGCAACAGAGAATTAATAGAGTGGTCTTTTCCCCACCCCTTCCTGCTTCTAGCACTTAGCAACTTAAAAAGCTTAGAGTTAGCATCACAACTGCTAAGCTGCGTAGTGCTATCGGATCTATTCCTTTATCTCCCTTTATAACCTAATTTTACTTGTATCCAACAATGCAAGAGAAAAAAGTATAAGAAGGAAAATCCATACTTGCTGTTGACTAAAAGGACATTTAAAGGACTCCTTTAAAACATGCTCCATCCTCTCAACCTTCATTTCACAAGACTTAACTGACTAGAAGTATATATTTGGGAATTGTAAACACTGAATTATTTCAGCTTCACAAAATACACAGAAATGCATGCCCTAAATATTTGTGAGACAAGCCAGTACTAAGCAAGCTACGTCCTCGCCTGCCATTGACTCACAGCCATGCTGTGCTCCTCTGGAAGTTGCAAATTATGCTGTAGGAAGAGCACAATGAGAAGAAGAATCAACAGAGCTCAGAAAAGGCTTCACTTTTACCCTCCTGGAAAATAAACTGCTGAGACTTTTGTCTCCGAGTATATCTGTAACACATTACATTGATGCTGTACACCACTAATGAATTACTAAGTCTATGCAGGGGGAGAAGAGAAACACAAATGAGTAGGGATAAGAAAAACTTACTTAGGGGAGCATCAATAAAAGGTCTGAGACACTCCTGTAGTACACCACAAAACACTAATAAGAACAGTAGTTTGGTGATGATAGACACAGTGAGAGTGAAAAGAATTCATAAGCAGTACCTGGGAAAAAGAGCACATAATGAGTACATTACAATCATGTGCTATTTGATTTGTGGAGTTTTTTGTAAGCATACTACATCGCAGTGTTTCACTGCTGGCTTTGGCATCACTGACCTGACCTAGAAAATACACTAGTGATTTCTTGGAAAAAGTAATGAAAGCATCAACAGCTCGCATTATTTTCCTCAGACAAAGCCATGATAGCCAATAGTGACTGAACCAGTGCTCCGGCAGTTTTGCTTATTTTTGCTGCTAAATACACATAATTCATCTAGTACATCTACCACCCAATAAACAATCCTTTAAATTAGATGAAAAGAATTCTTACTGTCTCTAATTTCAAACCCATTCTAACATCTGGTTTAACTCATAGTGGAGTATGGTGAGAGTCAGCCTTTGTAGAAATTGCAGGAATTGAAGCTTGACAGCGCAGGCAGAGGGAGATATCCTAGACTGGGCACCTGAAGAGCAGGTAGAAAGAGAGAAGGAAAAGAGAGTTTAGCAAAACCAAAACCAAACCCAAATAAACAAGCAAAAAACCCCACAGCACAAAGAGGAGAAAAAAAAAAAAAAAACCAACCTATGCCTACACCCTAACACACATTATTCTGAATTCTTGTTCTTCATCTTTGTGATTATACCAGTCCCTTGAAAGCTAATTTGGGGCCACTGGTCCCCTGATACATCCACTGCTTCCTCATGCTAAGGTTCTTCTACATTCCAACAGCCTTCTATTCACCAAAGCATGGTCAAAGAACCCTATGGTAGGTGAGAATCAGTCTTCCGATATAGTCATTTAGCAGTTAATATTTTGTTAAGCACTTCAAGACTGAACAACTTGCTAAGTGACGGAGCTACTGCTGTTATTCCACAAAGTATTTTCTTCTGGTAATTCAGCTTCGGGAGTGTTTTTCTTCTATTCCTAATTTAAAGGCAGTACCTTTGCTAGGAAATACATCCTTGCTGATATAGACTTACTACCCTTAGGGGATAATCCATTCGACAGGGAAGTGGAGTCATTGCTTTCAGCTTGGCATTGTGCACCATGAAGCTAATTTGTGGAGCGGTAAATGGTTGACCACTCTGAAGTTTATTCTTGTCGGTTTAGACAAGTTAGCACCCCTTGACAACAAAAGGAATTACATCTGGCTCAGACTCATCTCGGTTTTGGACATTCAGGACACCTGTAAAGGCACTTATGCACTTAATTCTCAAATAAAATAAAAATCTTTATCAAAGTATTGTGAAAGGCAGGAAAAGAAACTGCAGAGAATGATGGGAGTGTACTGCAATTCCATTAAAAACCTAAAAATCATGGCACAAAACACAGGCATCCCATCTTTTGATGCTAATGAAAAACTTTTGAAAGCAAAGGAGAGTTCATTGAGATCAGTAAGAGCCAAGACCATTCAGGTGCATTTTTGACTTTGTTGTGTCGTGATATTCTAGAAAGCCTGTTAAGCATTATCAGAACATTGCAAAGTATCTGCAGGGCTTGAAAGTGCCCTGACTAACCTTCTGCTTCTCCCAACCTATAAAATTTCACCCTAAATATTCTATATGCTTTGACAGCCTAAAAATGGCCAAAAAGAATAATCTAGGAATGCCTTCTTCCTCCAAAGAAAAAAAAAAAAAAATCAGATCAGCTGAAGAGAGCTGATACCAGAATGACAAAACGAGACTGATGAAGGAGGAGTCAAAACTTGAGACGATATATGGAAATGCACTGGAAAATCAGAGGTGGAAGGGATTTCGAGCATCTGATTTGTTTCCCTTTTAACATAAAAAATTTGGCTGCCTTCATCACAAAATAGGTGGGATTTCAAGTTCCTTCTTATAAAGCCTGGGAGCAGCTTAGTGGAAAGGCTCTTTTAGCAGAGCCTAGTGCTGAGCATAAACCGTGCCAAGTGAAGAAGTTAAGATGGGAGAGTCACCCATCAGCATCACAGCAGCTCACAGACAGATTCCCCTGCACCCTGTGGTGAAGACCATGGAACAACAGGCTGTCCCCCCTGCAGCCCAGGGAGGTCCATGGCAGAGCAGATATCCACCTGCAGCCCATGGAGAACCCCACGCCAGAGCAGATGGACGCCCAAAGGAGGCTATGACCCTGTGGAAAGCCATGACTGGAGCAGGCTCCTGGCAGGACCTGTGGACCCACGGAGAGATGAGACCACGCTGGAGTAGGTTTGCTGGCAGGACTTACGACCCTGCTGGAGGGGACCCACACTGCAGCAGTCTGTTCCTGAAGGACTGCACCCCATGGAAGGGACCCATGCTTGAGCAGTTCATGGAGAAATGCAGCTTGTGGGAAGGACTTACATTGGATAAGTTCGTGGAGGACTGTATCCCATAGGAGAGACCCCACACTGAAGCAGAAGAGAAGTGTGAGGACTCCTCCCCCTGAGGAGGAAGGAGCAGGAGAGACAACATGTGATGAACTGACCACAGCCCCCATTCTCCCCATCCCTCTGAGCTGCTCAGGGGGAGGAGGTAGAGAAAATCAGGAGTGAAATTGAGCCCAGGAGTGGGTTTTGGGGTGATTCCTTAAAAAAAACAACAGTGGGTTTTGGGGTGATTCCTAAAAGAAACTGTTGGTTTTAGGATGATTCCTAAAAAAAAAAAAAAAGCAGTGGGTTTTGGGGTGATTCTTAAAAAAAAATGTGGGGTTTTGGGGTGACTCCAAGCAAAACCAGTAGGTTTTGGGGTGTTTCAGCCCCTCTGGCAGTGAGGCCTCGTTAGCGCCTGTTAACAAGGGGGTCATTAATGGCTTTGGGGGTGTGCTGGTGGTTATGTGTCCCCCAAAACAACTCCCGGAATTTTGGGTGCTCCTTAACGAGCCGGCAGCCTTGACGAGGAAGCCGAGGAGGAGCTGCTGGACGCCTACACCACTCCCTCCAAGGTGCTCCCCGACACCTCAACCCCCGCAAAAAACTCTCCCAAATCCCTATTTTTTACCCCCGAAAACCCCTCATCACCCCAAAATACCCTTTTTTAATGTGTGTGTTTCTCACAGGGTTCCCAAAAACGCACCAATTCCACCCCGGAAACCCCTCGACCGAAGCGCACTTTCTCCTCCCGCAGTCCTTACGCTCTTTTTTCACCCAACAGTTTCTCCCCGAGGTAAAGCCGATGTCACCGCAACCGTCACCCCGGTGTCACCGTCGCCGTCACCCCCTTCACTTTCCCTTTCTTTTTCATCCCCGCAGCGTCACCCCCTCCCAAAAATACACGGCGCGCGGTAACCGCGGGGAGGTGGTGGCCTCGTTCGGCACCGTCCAAGGTCCCACCTGGAGCGGCGGTGGTGGCGGCGGCGGTTGTACCCCGAAACTTTTCGGTTCCCCCGAAGAAAATTTAACCAAAAACTACAAATTCATGTTCCAGAAAGCACTCGATGTCCGGGAAGGTGACACCGCGGGCGGTGGGGTGGTTCAGAGGTGACCCCCCCACCTCGATTTGGTGGTAACGCTGTTTTTTTTGGGGTTTTTTGGTGTTTTGGGTTTTTTTTTCGGGGGGGGGTTTGTAGTGCTGTCGTGGAGGATCGAGGAACTCGGTGACGCGCTCAAGAGCCGCCATCGCCTGGAGGACTTCGCCTCCGTTTTGCTCCCGGCGCAGGTGAACGCCCCTCTCCGGGTGTCACCACAACACCCGTTTTTAGGGGGTATTTTGGGGCAAAACCGGTTGGATTTGAGGGTTGTTTTTTGTTTTTTTTTTTTTGCTGTTCTCCCACAGGAACCGGTGACGGTCCTGGGCCAGATCGGCTGCGACAGCAACGGGAAACTCAACGCCAAATCGGTGGTGCTGGACGGAGACCGGGAACACTCCTCGGGCGGTCAAATCCCCCTCGATCTCTCGGAGCTGAAGGAATATTCCCTATTTCCCGGGCAGGTGCGGGGGTATTTTTTTGGGGAGGAACCCCCCAAATTTTGGGAAACTCCTAATTTTCTTCCCTAAAATTGGGCGCCCGACGTGGGGTTTTTTTTTTCCCTCCCTCCATCCCGATTTTAGATCGTGGCGCTGGAGGGGACCAACAGCAGCGGGAAGAGCCTGGTGGTCTCCAAACTCTACGAGGTGACGCCGCGGCCTCACCCGCGGGGAGATGGGGGGGGGTTTGGGGTGAAAAAGGAGGGGTTTGGGGGAGGTAATTTTATGGTGGTGGCCTGCGGACCCTACACCACCTCCGACAGCGTCACCTACGACCCTCTCACTGACCTCATCGATGTCATCATCCGCGACCGCCCCGACGTCTGCATCCTGGTGAGGGGCCGCCACGGGGAACCCGGGACTTATCATATAAACTAATTATTTATAATAATTAACCCAATTACTTATTACTAAACAAGAAGGCGCAGCATGAAAATGCAGTTGAGGTTTCAAAACCTTCAAAATCGGCGTAAAAAAACCACCGCTGAGGAGAGAGGCGGCTCAAAACACCCATTTTTTTTCATCCTAAACCGACAAAACGCCTGTTTTTCACCCTAAAGTTGCCCCTAAAAAGCCCCATTTTAAGAGGGAAAGAAAGGACGCGCTGATTTGATCAGTCTCCCCTCTTTCCCCCGACCGTTTTGGGGCTGCGTGATGAAATTTGAGCTAAATTAACAATAATAATTAAAAAAAAACCAAACAAACCTTTTTTGGGGGGCTGTTGAAGGCGTTTCGCTTCTCTCGCGCACGCGGGGTCGTTTCTGATTTCTTTTTTCCCCCATTTTTTCGCAGTTTGGGCCGTTTGTGGACGCCAAACACGAACAAGTGGAGGTGAGGGCGAATCGGGGCACCCCGCGTACCTCAAAAGTGGGGAATTTCCCAAAATCTCATCGTTTTTCCCCTCAATTCGTAGAACTGCCGACTGCTGGCGGCCTTCGGTGACATCTTCAAGCTCTGCCTGAAGATGATAATCGAAGGGACGAGGAGGTAGGGACAGCGTCTGTGTGGGTTTTTTTCCCAAAAACTCCTCTTTTTGCACCAAACGGGATCCGGATGGGAGGTTTCCAGCAATTCCTGCATGGAAAACAGGCAGCGAAAGGGGGGAAATAATCAGATTTTTGGGTCAAAGCCTCGTTAACGGGCTCGGAATGGGATTCGAGTCGTGTTCGTGTGCTGGACGCGGTGTTGAGCTACATCCTGGAATTTTTGCCCCAAAAATCCATGGAGAAAGGAACCGGGAAATAACCGCCTCTTAATTAATCGCCTGTTTTTCCCTCTTTTTCCGACGGCGCCGGCTCTCGGCTCATCTTTGTCCCATAATCGCCTGTTTTTCCCTCTTTTTCCCGACAGCATTGGCTCATTTTATCCCATAATCGCCAGTTTTTCCCGTTTTTCCTTCTTTTTTCCAACAGCCCCAGCTCATCTTTGTCCCATAATCGCCCGTTTTTCCCTCATTTTCCGACAGCGCCGGCTCTAACCTCATCTTGTCCCGTAATCGCCTGATTTTTTTCCCCCCGTTTCCCGACAGCGCCGGCTCTCGGCTCGTATTTCTTCTCTCACAAG